CTTTTTTGATACTGACATCTATTGGAAAACAGATGAATATATTTGTACGTTTGATTTTTAAAGTGAATAAAACTAATTAAGTTCAAAACCCTAATTTAAATTAGAAATTATGAATGTATAATAAATTAACTATTTGTATGACACCTTTCTCTAGTTGCCCGAAAGCACATTTATATGGGTTTTCAATTGTATAATCCTTTTTTTGTCAGTAGTTATTGCAAATATAATTATATGTCCTTTAAAACTCATGGTAATATGCTCATGATTCAAACAATTGAACATTAGATAATGAAAGAAAACAATGAAGTTTGGCTTACATTCAAGTTTTCCATAAGGCTGTCTGAAGATTTTTCTTTTTATCATTTGGATAGATAATACATTGAAAAAAAGAAAGTCTTCTGAAGTAACTTAATTGACAGTCTGAAAATGTTCTTTAAAAAAACAAAAAAGTTTTGAAATGTTTTAGCTGAGTTTTTCTAAGTCTTTTTGCCATTGAGCAAAAATACGCATGCCCAGTGCATAAATATGCATGTCCAACTACTATGTAACTACTATCCAAATCTGTTTTCAAATTAAGTAGATTTGGATGTACTAGGCCTCCATAGGGTGTTTTATGTCCAACTGAACTCTTGGACATGTCTATGAAGATACAGAGCACACATCTCTGAGCTAGGACTCCTGCTGGGGCAAATACCTGTAAGGCACACATTTTTTCTTCAAAGAGCTGGGTTGGAGAGCTTACTCAGAAGCTGATCTTTTTTTCTTTGAGCTTTTAGCAATATAAGAAAATCAAGCATGTGATGGAGAAAAGTACTTTTTGTAAAATTTAACTTTTTTTCTTGAATAAAAATTAGAAATTTAAAATTACAAAAGCAATATATAATTATACTACAAATGCAAATCATATAGAGAGAGTAGAAAGTGATAATTCTTTTCTTACCTCCCCTAATACCTCTTCTCCCCTTCCAGGTAAAACTGTTAACCTCATTTTTCTAGACTTTACATATTTACATATCTATGGATGTATAGACACAAAATATATGGCACACGTTTCTATTTATGTATATACACATGCATCTACATATTTGAGAGGAAATATTAATTTTAGTAATTCAAGAATAGAAGTACTCAAAACATATAAAAACAAACAATATCATAAATGCCACCATTGAGAAACACTAGTCCTTAATATTTTACAAATGTTGTCTCAGACTTCTCACATCTATAAACACAGATATAAATAAGAAAGATAAAATGTGATCGTATTCTTCATGATGTTTCAAAATTTAAAATGTATTAAAGTTAATAAGAAATTTACAGAATTAAAAAAAATTAAAGCCAAATAAATCACTGACCTTTAAATAAATGCTTCTTTACCCTAAAAGGTATTCATTCCTAAAAAAAAGTTTCCACTGGACATAAGGAAAAAATATAAAGATAATATGAAAGAAATAAGAATAAAAACATAATTTCTTTCATCTACACTTTCAAATGTATACAGTATCTATTGGCTCTTTGGTATGAAAAATAAGGAAGTTTGTAAACTTAAACTCTTTGCTCCTTTCTTGTTCCATATCCCATTTTCTATTAGCCATATTAGTTTTACACAGTCATGTTTCTGTAATCATAAGTCCTACAATTTACTAGTTTTATTTTATCTATTTTATATGTTATTTATATATCTTATTATGTTATATTCACATTTATTTGTCCTCTTTATTTACAGTTTCATTCTGAATCTCATGGTGATGATTTATGGAACAGATATATGCCTAAATTCTGATTTGTGTTACAGAGGCTAGATCTTACATTGCTGTGAGAAATCAATGCGGCTTTAAAAAATTTTATAGTCAACACTGTATAAAAAACCAAGACACAGAAAATTTATTTCATAAAGTAAATGACATTGTCTCTCTTCCTATACAATGGGGTATATCATGCCATTTCTTTACTTTTTGTTCTTGTTTTTAAGAATTCTGTATAGGAGTATCGTTTGCATGAACTCCTTTGCATGCATTTGGCTTTTCTGGACTGATACAAGTAACTTTAATCAATAAAACTAAGGTGAGAAATCAAATTCAGTAAAAAGGATACATATAGAAAGAGATGCTATAAAGATATATGTTACTTCTTAAACAGATATAAAGGGGTATAGTCATCTCAGAAGCCCTATCTTTGAGATTTTCTTCCCACCTAAGTTGTTAGTGTCTATCAGTTGTGATGGTGAGACATTTCAGATATAAAACATTTATTGGGCAATGTCTGTGTCTGAATGCAAAGTGGGGAATGGGGGGAGAGGCAACAGAGCACCCCTTCTTCCCCAGTACTTCCTGCAGCTCCCCCACGCAATCCCTGAGACTCTTGACTCTGACCTTTTCTTCTCACCTCACCTGTGCCTTCCTCTCCCCCTACTCTGGATTCTGGGTAAGCATAATCCTTCCCTCCAGCCTCTGGAGGCACTGAGAATCACCACTTGCTGAGCCCTCAAAGTCCATTCCTACAATACTGCTACTGGGGTTTGAGGAACTCTCCTTGTCTCTCCTACTGGAACTTCCAAAACAGAATGCGTTCAATCGCCAATTAAAGTCTTAGGGTTGCATCCTGTCAATAAATATCCTTCCTCACTCCAACTAAGTCAAATGCCAGATTTTCTTTAAATCTTGATGTTTTAGTCAATCAAAGCATGGTTATTGAACCTATCATACCCTGCTGAAGCCCACAAAATGACTGCCACAAACACACTTGTGGCCCTCTCTATGGGACTAGAAGTAAGTAAGTACTATCTTTAACCTGAGCCTGGGGGTGGCTCTGGTGAAAGCCCAGACTGAAGCGGTTTTCCCGATGCATCCCTACCAGTGACACACACTTACTGAGATTCACTTGGTGTCTGGGGGTGTATTTGCTATGGACAGCTGCCTGCCTCTGTCTGGGATGGTTGGCGATCTCATACCGAAAAGATAACCAGGAACACCTCTTTTCTTCTCATTCCTGAGGCTGAGATATCCTCAGGGTTATAATGAGGACTAATATTATTTAGGATTTCTTGACTACAGACAATTTTCAGGAGCTTCTGTGCCTCCAAGCCTTGCTGTACTGAATACAACTCCCTGGTATGTTTTCATGTTGAAACACCAAACGAGCACTTTTTACTGTATTATTGAGATGTGATTCAAAATCTGAGATTTGAGGTTATCTCAGGCCCTCAATGCTTGCTCCCTAAGTGGCCTGTTGTGCTGGGCCATAGATAGGTTTACTTAGATATTGGGGTGTTTCTCTGTCTTTGAGATGGTCCATTTCTTCACAACTTCTGACGTCCTCTAAATTAAGCTTATAACTGTGGCATGAAATTAGTCACAAATTTTTCAAGTTTCTTGGTGTGTACTGCAGTGTTTAAAATAGTTTAAAGGAATATAACTTAAATGTTAATTAGATAGAGATTGCTTAAAAATAACTTACGACATGCATACGGCAGAATACTAGGAAGCCAATTAAATAGGGGTGTATATTTTATAATTATCGACATGGAAAGACATCGTGAATTGCTTAGTGAGAAAAAGTGGTGCTTAAATACATTATGCATTACTAATGGGGGGAGAATAGACAAATCTCTCATGAGAAATATTTCCAAATAATTTTTATGGAAACTTTGCCCTCAAGAAGGTAGAACGTAGCTCCCCGCGACTTAAGTGCAGGCTGTGTATAGTGACTTCTTTCCAAAGAGTAGGTATGGAAAGGGGAAAAAGTGTATACTTTACACTGACAAACACTGCCTTGGCAGGTGCTGAAGGTCAGCATCACCAGTGATAAGGCATGTTGATCGTATGTACCCTTGATATGATGTAACGACAATGTCACATTACCTCTGTGGTTCTCCTGCCATAAACCATTACGTCAGTCTAACCATAAGAAAAACATAGAAAAAAAGATCAGTCAAACCCAAATACAGTGACATTGGACAAAACACCTAACCAGTATTCGTTTAAAGCCATCGAGATATTCAAAAACAAGATTCTCAGAAACTATCACAGCCAAGAGGAGCCTAAGGAGACATGATTGCTATATAGAATGAAGTATCTTTCCTGGCTGGTTCCTGGAACAGAAAAAGGACATGAGGTAAAAACTAAGGAGATATGAATACAGTGTGGACTTTAGTTGGTAATAATGTATCAATACTGGTTCATTAATTGTGATAACTGTACCATACTAAGGTAATAAACTTGATATGAGGTATATGGGAACACACTGTACTACCTTTACAACTTTTCCATAAATCTAAAACTAATTAAAATTAAAAATATTAAAAAATGAACACTGTGTACAATGACTTCATTAATGTAAAATATATGTATATAAATGTATGTATATACATAGCAAGACATCTGGAATGACGTAATAGTATAACAACCTTTTTTATCGTAAAATAAACCATTTTATTTTATTTTATTTTATTTATTTATTTTTTTCCTTTTTGTCTTTTTTCGTGACCAGCAACGGATCGCAACCCTCAGTGTCGCGCCCGTACCGGCCTGGGACCGGCCACGGGATCGCAACCCTCGGTGTTGCTCCCGCCCCTCGCTCAACCAGTGAGCGGCCAGTCTGTATGTGGGATCCGAACCCTCGGCGGGAGCGCCACCGCGCTTCCCAAGCAGCGCACTATAGCAGTGCGCCACCGGGCCGGCCCAAACCATTTTATTTTTACTTATTTATTTACTTTTTGTTGGTGGTGGCTGGCCAGTCTGGGGATCCAAACCCATGAACCTCACTGTTATAAAGCTGCTCTCTAACTACCTGAGCTAACTCGCCAGGCCTTGACAGGCTGACCTTGATTGCCCCTTTATGTTTTTTTTTTTTTTCTCATTGCTTATCTGTATTTTTCAATATTAATCATGTATTGCTTGTATAATAAAACATAAACAAATGTATAATTGCCCGTCTGTCCCCTTTTATATAGCTCATTTCAACTACAAGTTATAATGATCTTACACAATAAAGAAACGTACCTTCTCACAAAACAAGGGGTCCAGGCATAAGGTGGATTCTCCTCACGTAGGAGGCAGAGCTCTGGAAACATCTCGTTCTCTCCTTCAGCTCTGTGTCCTCAGGATGCCAGCTTTGTCCTCAGGCTTGCTTCCTCATGATCACAAGATAGATGCCAGCATTAATTACATAGCAACATGCTTTCCTGTTTATATCCAGTGCAAGAGAAGAAAAACATTTCCTCCAACCTTGGAAAAAGATCTGAGGCAACTCAGGTCACTGTGACCACTCCTTACTAGCAACAGTTGCCATCACATATTGCAAATGTTCACCAGCTTAGCCAAGGTTTCTGAACCGGTCACTGTCAGCAGAGCTGGGAATGATGGCTTAGGTCTAATCAGGATCCACCTGGAACTGGGAATGGAGTCAATTTCCTTGATACATGGGCTGCTTGGAGAGGACTGAAACAGCTGTCACAGACACGTTGTAAGCCTGCAGATGGGACATAACTTGGCCGTGTTATTCACTCCCACTGGCGAAGTAATAAGAACAGACACCAATTACCCACAGACTACCTATAATTAGGACCTTCACTATTTTAGTTCTGTCCAATAGGGACTATAAACTAATGGCATGATTCAACAATCTGGGTTAAATCTACATCCATGGAAAAAGAAGGGGGTAGAAAAATGATGCCAGAAGTGTAACTTTGATAGATGTCCCCTATCAAAAAAAGAAACATCACAGGTGGGTAAAAATCTTAACACATTAGCTTTACCTTTTAACCTAGTACAGGTGTCAGCAAAGGAACGCAGCCTATGGGCTATTCCAGCTGGCTCTCTGTTTCTGTACAGCCCAGGAGACAAGAATGGGCTTCAGAATTTTAAATGCTTGAAAAAAAATCAAAAGAAGAGTAATATTTTGTGACAGATAAAAATTATATGAAATTCAAATCTCAGTGTCCATAGATAAAGTTTCATTGGCCAGAGCCACACTCATGTGTTTCCATATTGTCTATGGCTGTTTTCATACTACACACTGGCAGGGCTGAGTAGTTGTGACAAAGACCATCTGGCCTGCAAAGCCAAAAATGTTTATTGGTTAGCCCCTTATAGGAACAGTTTGCCAAACCCTGACCTACAGTCAACATAGGACTTTGCTACCTCCCTTAGTGGGAGAGATCAGCAGTACCTCTGGCCATATGTCCACATTCTTGAGCACCCCCCCCCAACCCCTAATACCAACCACTGTTCCTCTGATCATCTTACCAGGACCATGGACAGCCAAATGGAATTTTCCCCTAGAACAACTCTCTCAGAAGGCTCTAATCTAGGTTAAAACAGTACAGTAATTAACTTAACTCCAAGGCTGAATATTTTCTCCTCTCCATTATTCATTCCAAATTATTTCCAGCGATGTTTTTCCATGAGTGTATCAGAATTTCTGCAATTAGAGTGACATTAAAGACATAGCTGTCCTCCTGTAAAATTTAGAAATTTGCAATGAAGACATCCCCAAATGCCAGATTTATTTTAGGTGTCTTTCTTTCACATTCAGCATTATTTATTTAAAGCATTATAATTCTCCTGTTGCTTTTGAGTCTTATTTTCTGACACCCCAAAACTGAATTGAGTGTGGGCTCCGTCTAGTAACAGAGCATGCTTACTCCCCTGTATTATCATTCCTGTGTCTTAGGAACTGTTTTTACTGCCCCTTGCTATGAAAATGCTTCGGCTTGAAATCAGCCTGCCTCCAGAAGAAAGATTGTTCCTCTTGTCACAAATAACCAGTGCAGAGCCAAATGGAGACCACATGGTGGGGTGACACTCAAGCCTATGGACAAGATCTTGAATCCAAGGTCAGCCCCTCCAGAATCCCCTTCTTGTCTCTGTGTACATAACACTTTCGGCAACACATTCTGGCTAACTATGTGGTGCACTAAAATTTTTGAGCTTAGGACCTCGTTAGTGCTTTGCAGTTTAAAACAGGAAATATTAATACAGCCATCAATGTATAGAAGGCCTATAAAAACTTCTGGGTTTTTTTTTTTTTTTTTTTCCATTGCTTTTTCTGAATTCTTACTTCTATCTATTACACCAGCTTATTAGGGCCCAGGACATGCCAGCATATGCTGCCAACCTCCTTACTTCGCAGCAGGTGTGCTAGGCATAGTTTAAAGCAAAAGTCAAACTGAGCATATGCGCCCTGGGGCTGCCTCTGCTGGCTCATTACCTGTACCTTTACTAAGGTCAATGCAGGTGGCATTGACTGGCCACACCATGAGCAATAGAATCTTCAATGGAAGTTTGCCTGGATAACAGGTGACCTGTGGGCTTGTATGTTTGGCGAGATATGTTTGGCCCCTACATAATTGCTGGGACCTGCTCTGACCCTGTGTGTTCACTGAGGTCTGGTATTTCTATAGAGACAGCCCATCACCTGTAGATATGATTGCTATGTGCTGCCATGAATGATGCATGTCTATGTACTATGTCTCTTAAGGTTTAGAACTATTCCTCAAGGACACAGCATTTAAAAGTCAATTCCATTTGTTTCTGGAGCATCTTCCAAAAGTGCAATATTTGGACAAGCTTCCAGTCAAGATGGCCTAATAGACAGTCCTCAGTGTCACTCTCTCCCACAAATCAACCAATTTACAACTATTAAAAAACAACAACAGCCAAGCTGAGGCCACTGGAGCTCTGGGGAAGAGGAGGAGAGACCTATGGAGTGCATGAAGGTGGGAGAAGCCATGATGAGGGAAAGAAAGAACCACTCCAACCATTTCAAGCCCCAGCTGCTTCCAGGCTGGAGCTGCCAAGTGCACGGAGCAGGAGCCAGCAAAAACTGCAGCTGTGGCCTTCGGATGAATTTGCTTGGAGGCAGCAGGGGACAAGAGGGCCTTAGTGGCCCTCAGGCCAGCAAGACTACTAATAGGGTTTCTGTGGACCCACATAGGAATGAGGAGCCACAACAACTGAAAAAAAGGAGCCACTCAGAGGCTGGTGAGTCACTGCAAGGGACTGGCACACGGCCCATGCTGTGAGAAGTGTTTGGAATGTGGGCAGTAGGGGAGACAGGCCCACCAGGGGAACACTAGGGCATAGCAAGGACAACTGATCTGCCCCCCAATCAGTGTAGGAACACTCAGAGGAGACTGGTCAGGAATATAGAACTGAAGGGGATGCAGTTTGCTGAAAAGACTCAGGCCCAGACTGGAGTTACCACACAACCCAGGTGTACCAGATCTCACCAGACCTGGAAGTACCTACAAAGTCAACCATTAAAACCTGAGCTCCCCAAAAAGCCTTCTGCAGGGAATCAGCAGCAAAGCAGCAATTTAGCTCAACCACAGAGCTCAAGTGCTGGTCCCCACAGTAAGTTCCCCCTTTTTGAAAGTAAGCAAAGGACAACAAATTAGTTCCAGTGCAGAGTTTATGTGGTAGGAACAGCAAATAATCCAACTCAGAACTGAAAGAAAAAACAAAATACTAACAGATAAGAGACAAAGGTTTTTTTTTGTTTTTTTTTTTTGTCCTTTTTGAGACCGGCTGCACCGCGCTCAGCCAGTGAGTGCTGTGAGCGCACCGGTCATCCCTATATAGGATCTGAATCCGCGGCAGGAGCGCTGCTGCGCTCCCAGCACTACACTCTCCCGAGTGCGCCACGGGCTCGGCCCCAAAGTTTGATATTAACTAGTAAAGGTCTCACTTCACCAAAGATCTCTATAACACCTAGAAGGACTGGAAGTTCACTGGGCTACCAAGTCAGGGAAGAGGGAGTGCTGGGGACCTCAACCATTCCCCCCAATAACACCCCCAGCCAGCCCAGCAATGACAACTAGCCACTGCAGGAAGGGCCCTGGGCTCTCATGAGCCAGGGCGGAGTGGGGCCAAGGGCCTCGGTTACACCCCCTGACATCCAAAACTAGCCCAGTGACAACCACCAAGCTACCACAGGAAGCACCCCAGGCTCCCAAGCTGGTGCAGTGGGGGGTGAGGGCTTCAGTCACACCCCTTGACATCTGTACCCAGACCAGCAATGACCGAGCCACCACTGGAAGCCCCCTGGTCTCCCCTGCAGGAATGAGAGAGGTGCCACAGGCCTCAATGTCATCCCTCCTCCTTCCTCCTTCTACCACCCTATTTCCCTCACCCTTCACATCTCCCTGTCCCCACCAACTGCTCCACAACACCATAGAATGTAAAATAATATTAATAAATAAATAAACTTTTTAAAAGTGCAATATCTGAAACTTTAAATGTTTGTTGTCATATGGTTAAAAGATGCAGAGGTTGATAATGCCAAAGCACTGATATTGGATGATAGATTTAAATGTCTTGCTTCAGTTGACCTTAGAGAAGCTTTTAAAGTGGTTGAAAAGCTTTTAGAATAGGGATCTAGCCAGAAACCATAGGTAGATGTGAAGTTTTGGTTTTCATTCCGATCTGAAAACCTAGTGAATGGCTAAAATGTGTTATAATTGTTTTGTAAAAAATGCTTCGTGGTTTTTTGTTTGTTTGTTTGTTTATTTGTTTGTTTGTTTCCTTTTTAGTGTTTAGAGGTTGTAATTGCCTTCTCAATACTGAAAGTTTAAAGCACGTGGTCTGCTTTGATTCTAGTCTTCAAGCCCGGGCAGCTTGTGTAAAGCAGCGGAATGCAGCTATCCAGTTTCTTCTGTTGCAGTCTGCTCTTTACCTTCTCCTGCAGGATGTTTCTTGTCACACGCCCACTCCTTATTGTCAGATGCAAAGTTCTTCATTGATAATTCCTCTAAGTAAATAAAATCTGAAGGAAACTTTCTTCCTTAATTTTAGATAGATTATATTTAATAACTAGCTTCATTAGTAAAGCAAGTTCCTTACAAAATGTTTTATATGCATTGTTTACTTTCAAAACTTATCAATCATTATTTCTAACTAATGTTTTCAAACTCTCCATAGAATATTCTTTCATATATTTCAATGAAGTAACTTTTAAATTTTGTTGGACATTTTTTAATGTCTATAAAACACTGATGACTATATATTTTCATGATTTTGTGTGCTATTTATAAGCAACTACTGTATCAGACTAAAACCCATTT